TATGGGAATAATCTCGACTTCCCTGCTCATCAGTTAGTTGAGTGCCTGCTGAAACTCCTTGCCTCACCCTCCCTTGGGGGTTCTGCAGTGGTTGTTCAGCCAAGGGGGTGGGAAGAGTGGCAGAGATCTGTGTTTTCATTTAGCATCCCAGGTGCTTTTGACAGTCATACCAGAGTGGGAAGGTCCGACTAGGCATCATATGACTGGGTTTCTAGTCTTATTTCTGCCCCTTCCCAGCTCCATGATCTTGGGTAGGTTCACCCTTTGAGCCGAAGTTTCCCCAACCGTAAAATGCAGGAGTAGGACGAGAGGACTTGAAATAGCCACAACAGTCTTTGCTTCTTTGAAATCCAGTGAGGGACTTGGTCCCTTCTTCTCATCCGTCCTTTGGTAGTTCCAGCATTTTTACACATCCAGAATCCTTCATTTATTTCAGATTTTGTTTCTCACGAGTGAGGACCACCAAATTGGGCTTAAAATGATTAGTCCTCCAGACAACATATAAAGTGGTTATGTTAAATGAACCTAAAATCATGTTCCCTTTTCTCTGCTAAAAGAATGAGTTTAATCTCCTTATTTTTATCTTTGAAGATGTTGAATGGCGCTCCTAGCCTTCGGCGGTTATCAGTGTGTCTGGAGCAGTACACGCGTTCCAGTCTTTCACAGCCAGGACTGTCTAAAACCTAATTTGGGGCCATGGCTAATAGAAGAGGGGATGACCTGTATCAGCCAAGGGGAGAAAAAGCGTTTGCTTAGGATGAGGGAAAGATACAGTGAGAACCAAGGAAATCAATCCAGAAGCAATGGGCTTCATCTTTCCTACACTTTCGTTCCATTCTTCAAAACCTCAAAATTCTCCCCGCATTGAGGCCAGCTTCAGACTCTGGAGAACTCAAGTTACGCTGGCCCAAGGTTCCAAGCATGGGCTCAACCAGTGGAAGTCTAAATAGGCTAGAATTGACTTAACTTTCCTTCAAAGAAAAGTTAGGTATTTTCAAATATTCGTGAAGCAGTAGGCTCTATGCTAAGCTTGTTATGTGCAAGCCCTTATCTAATCCTCAAAACAACCCTTCAGAGTTCAGAGATTATTATTCCATATTTAGAAGAAGAAACTAAATACTTTAAAAAAGGTTACATAATGTGCTCAGAGTCGCAGAGCCAGAATTTGAATCCAGCCTAGTCTGATTATAGTACCCACATCCTTCATCCATTTTCACCGTGCTGTCTCTCTACAAAGTTGGGGGGCAACCTGCGAATAAGCATTGCACAAGCGGGTCCCCTCAATGTGTGGTGCATTGACATTCCTCTTAAACCAGAAAACTGTGGTTTTCTGTGTCCACCAGGAAAACTCTTAGAGAGTAGTTCTCTTCTGATAGTACAACATCAAAAAATTGTTTTAATTTGCCAGCCAAATTTTTAGTTGACCTTTGGAGTAAATTTCTCATCCTCCTTCTCTTTGCTTTTCATGGGATTCAGTTTATGAGGGAATGCTGGAATATATACTTGGCAATATTAAATGTTTGTATTGTCATATTATAATAATGAAAGGATGCCGTGAAAATTGATGGGGATGCTGAGCTCATGGAATGATGGCATAAAAAGTAATAAAGAATCTGAAGCCTTTTTGAAGGGCCGGTGTATTAAACATGCAAGACAGCCCCTGTAGAGAGAGGATGTGGTTTCAATAGGTGTGAATGATTAGCTTTTTTGCCTTAAAGAATGAAAAGTGAATTTGGCAGGGTTTTTTTTTTCTTTAATTGTTAAAAAGGATTTGTGTTAGAGTTAGAGCTGCAACTGATAGAGTAAAAAGCCAAAACCCATCCAAGAATGTATTATATGCTAGTTTGTACTAATAATCAGATAAAAACAGAAACTTGGATTTTTGCCCTTTTTTCTGTAACCTCGTAACCACCTTTTATAATAAAGCAGAGCTAGGATGATAGACTTGAGTTTAAGGCAAAATAAGGCACCTGGGTAATGGACAATGGACAATGAATTCTAAGTGATACTCTCATGGAAAAGTGAGAAAATGTCTCCCATGGCAGTGACCTCCAGGGTTATGGATGTGGCTGTGTGTATAAACTCTAGGTATGTGTTTGTGACATGGTGTTACTACGTTTGAGCAGTAGAAGGTCAGCACAGTAGACATTTGGATGGAATACAGACGTGTGGATTCCTTTTGATGCTGGGAATTTGGATTTCCTTCTACTTGGTCTTGGTAATTGCTACATCGACAATGCTTACCTCCACATTAAGTCACAGTTAATATTCATCAGACTCTTAAGTAAATATCACCTCTCACCCTTTCATTCTTAATGTTCAGTATGGCAGACTACTTGTTTTTAAAACGAATAATATATATATATATATATATATATATATATATATATATATATATATATATATATATGCCTTCATTCCTTCTTGCCCCATGGTAACTTTTGAGACAAAACATTTTTTAAAAATCTAAGAATATTTTGGTTCTAACATCTAAAAACTTAGAACACATTTAAAAAAACACACAAATAACTGTAGAAAAATGCCATTGCTAACATTTAATTGTCCTAACTGAGCCACTTTGGAAAACTAAATTCCTTTAGCATTATGTGTTCAGAGCATCTTTGAGTTTGGCTGTTCAATAACTTACTAAAGAACAGAGGGTGAATAACATAAAGTGGCTCCTAATATGGTATCATTTTCATTTCCTGTTTGTGGAAAGATAAATGCTAACACTGTAAGGCTTTTTCCTTCTTCTTAATTTATTCCTCCCTGCACCACAAGGGAATAAAAAGGAAAAAAAAATCAGATGTGATATGGCTTGAGACTGAGTCATCCAGTTAAGATATGCCGAAAGCTTTTTTTCTCTTGCTTTTGTACCTTTTCCCTTCCCTCTCTCTGCCTTTGCCCAGATGCTGAAACACCCCTTTCTCTTAGAAAACACCTTTATTTACAAAATGTCTTATTTGACTTGAATTTTGGGATAATTCAGCTTACCAAAACTTGGGGTTTCTTTTTTTTCTTTTTCAAGAGTTTATCTTTAAATAATCTCTGTACCCACCATGGGGCTCAAACTTACAACTCCAAGATCGAGAGTCACATGCTCTACCAAGTGATCCAGCCAGGAACTCTCCAAAATTGGTATTTCAAAGATTTAAGGTTAATTATGTGACATAGAAGAAATGAGTCCCTCCCTAGTTCAAAGGCATTATTTTGGATAAGTGGTCTATAAAAGTGCTGTTCTAAGTAAGACTCTGTCTACACCCTTCTCTCGTGCTTGTTTTCTCACCCCCCCCTCCCGCCCACTCTCTCTCTCTCTGTCACTCACTCATTCGTTACGTCTACATTTCCCCAAAATTCCACAGCCCTTCTCTTAACTATACCTTTATCTTTTGGAACTATACTTCCCACTTACTTTACAGAGGTAATTATTATCATGTCTGGTATTTTTGCCCAGAGCATCTTTGCCATAGACCTCTTTGCTGCAGCGATTTTTACCACAGAACTAATTGTCCTAAAGCAATTTTGCCATAAGAGATTAAAAAAAAAAAAAAAAGTAACTGGTTGACAGTTTGGTTTGACACTTTGGTTTCATTTCTCCAGTGACAAAGTATTTCCATTTTTACATTTATATAATGTACAAATGTAAATCTTAACCCTCATGCTGGGGTGTACCATGGCACAGAGTTTTCAGCCCCCGTTTCCCATAGAACTTTGGAACATCTGTCACTGGACATGTGACAGTAGGCCGAGCACAGAGAACAGCGTAGAAGGCTTTCACAACATAGCACGGAGCTCAGTTACAAACATATATTCTAGTATTTGGAAACCCTTGCCTCTTCTAATGAAGGAAGAAATTTTAACGAGGGTGAATCAAAGCAACAAAAAACCGTGATACTGCGAAGAAAAGAGTTTGAAGCTAGGTGAAATGCCGAGGTAGAATCCACAAAAGAAAATCCGTTATTTGTGCTGTTGTTGCCACCATCTCCACTGTAGCTTCCGAATGCGTCCCAAATATTTTTTTTTAGTTCACAGGAGAATCCCTTTCATTTTGTTACTCATTTTATGTGTGTTCCCTTATGCCCTTCTTCACCATCCCTCTCTTACTTGCCACGATTTTATCCTTTATGGGAAAATTGTCTTCTGGACGATCAGGTGTGCGGCCAGAATGCTTGTGGCAAAGATGCTGGTGGCAGAACTATCTAGAAGCAATTATTTTATGTCTCCTTTGCCCAGGTGTCTTAAATTATCAAAACTATCACCATGTTAAAATGGTTGGAGGCACGTATAAAGAAAGTAGCATCCAGTGAATAGTATTTGAGTGCCTCCAATGTACATTTGATGAAAAACTTGGGTGCTGTCAGAAGGTAATTCTCTGTACAATGAGAAGACTTAAATTTTTGCTCAGATGGGACTAACACATAGTAGGTGCTCACATACTGAGGAAATGAATGATGAAGCTTGTTCTCCATGCCCTTGACCATAAGAACTTGTCATCTCCTGTAGCCCTGGGCTTGCCCGGCTAACACTGCTTCACAGCACTGTGCTAATCCATGCCTGCCTGTTAAGAAAGGTGAAGTTAATTTCGCATAAATGTCCCCATGTGTCTGGGAGCTTTTCCACAACCACAAAAGATGAATTTATGAGTTTTAGCTACCTAGCTCATTTTCCTTTGGCTTCCTCATGAATAAGATTGGTTAATAGGCATGATTCACGTTTTTGTCTTTTAGCTGTCTGTGTTACATGGGACTCCTTGGTGCCAGCAGGTCTAGAACTTCCCAGTTAAAAGCTAATGCATCTTGTGTTGAGAAATCTCACACTGACACCTCCAGTTACTTCGAGTTTGGCAATGGTTGTGTAGATTTCAAAACGATTAAGCAATGAGAAAGATTTTGTCATGTGCAATGGTGCTATAGTTTAATTTGGAATATGTATCATTTTGGATGTTAAAATAGTAATGCATCTGTATTCAAAGAAATAACAGAGCACTTTCTTCCTACTAGCTTGCAAAAGACAAAGAGCGCCTGCAAGCCATGATGACCCATCTGCACGTGAAGTCAACAGAACCCAAAGCCGCCCCTCAGCCCGTAAGTACCGAGCTACACCAGGGGAAACTTCACACTGTTTCTTTGCTGCTTCCTCACCCCTAAGCATAGGAGGCAGGAAGACCTACTCTGGCAGCTGTTAGTATTGAAGGACATAAGTCAGTGGAGTGTTTCCGGTTACCTTCTATAAAGGGGGTGGTGTGCAGGGCATTTCACAACGTAGAGGATGATTCAGAATCGGTCTTTGGCCACGAGGCCCAACAACTCGCTCTTCGGGACAGATGATTGATGGTGTACCCGGGTACGAAAATATGATAGGTCGCCGGGAGGGGGAAAGGTCTTTCTAAATGGTGTGAACCCAGAAAGAAGACAGCCAGACCATGGAGTCAGAAGAAAAGGGCATTTCAGCCTGCATTAGCCAAGAGACTGCGGGTGGGAGAAAGGGCGTGAGGGCCAGTGCAGTCTAACGGTCACAGAGGAAAGACATAAGAAATAGGAAGCACACTGCTGGAATAGCTGGAAGCTAAAATTGTGGAGGGCTTCTAATGGTTATTAGAGAGTTAGAAGTGAATATTACTCTTTTGCAGTTAGGAGTTCCAACATGGTATGTTGAAATTACGTTTAACTTGTAGGAATCTCCTACTTCTTGCCTTGTTTCCTTTTCCTTAACCTTGAAGAGTGCCATCCGAGCACAGACAGTTAATATCTAAGCAGAAGGATGGTTTCTAAACCCCAAATCCTGTCTTGGGCCTCATTCCTTGCTATAAATTGATCTCTTTAACAGTTGTATTTCTCATATACTTATATTTCTAAAAATCTCCTTAGTAGCTTCTACTGATTATTCAAAATGGAGAGAGTGCTTTGCTTCTTGATTTTTAAGATTTGTAAAATTTAAAGGTACACTGCCTTTATTTGATTTTGCTTGGAGTCACTGTGTGAAAATTAATTGAGCGTTGACAATCTATAGTTAGTACCAGCAATTTTAATCAATATGCAATGATGCAGCGTAATGGCAAAGTATTGGTTTATCTGTTTTGACTGATTTTTTTCTATAAATAAAGCAAACATACACCCATATATGTATGATTTATGGTGATAGAAATAAAACGGAGTCAGACTATTAACCCAGCAAATATGGTAGCCTGCCAAGATGCAGTTGGCAGACAAAATTAATGTCTGAAACAGAACACATTACTGAGATATAGGACATAAAATCATTAAACACTTTGTGCATCCATTTTTACTAGGAGAGAGCCCTTAGTTTCCGTGTTTTGCACTAAATGGCCATAGGACTGAATGTGTAGGCTACCAAAAAGAAAGGGAAACAGAAAAACCTAGGCCATTGGGTATAATGGGATGAGTAGTCAGTTGTGCCATTTGTGTTGACTTCATCAGCCCCTTCTTGTAATCATAGGAGCCCAGTTTAGGAAGCTGGTAAGACCCGGAAATGACTTCATGGGGTTTTCCAGTGGGCACAGCCAACCGCTAAGGGAATCGATAGCCTTCGGAACTCTCATGAAGTCTTCAGGTGGCTTCTGTTTGGAATGGCTTTTTCCCCAGGATGAGGGGTATGGGTCTTTGAACCTAGTAATAGGGGAGAGAATGGGATTATCTTCTACTTCCTCCATGGATTCAAAGCAATGACAGAATACTGTTTGGCCTCGGGACTCTGGGAGGGACTCATTTTGTATCGTGGGGCTCCTTGGGAGGAGGAGGGATGAAAGTGGAGAAGGATTTGTGAAACCCCATGGGGCGCTCCGTGAGTGCTGGGGCAGGGTGTTGGCAGAGAGGGCCATCCATCCAGGTAAGCCTGCATAGGCCACAAAAGGACCCTTGGGGATCTCCATGAAGACCAGTGTGAAGCAGCCAGTAAACAGGGAAAAGCAGTCGTGGGGGAAATGCACTGGGGAGGAAGGTTTGTCTTGATTAGTATTTAAAAAAAAAAAAATGTTTTACATTCTAGAAAATTGTAACTTCGAAGGGGACCTCCTACTAAATTTATTTTTAACTGTTCTATTGAAAATTCTCTACCACTAGTCAACATTATCTCTTAGTAGTTCAGCACAGTATTTCTTTATTAAAAGAAATAGGCACGAATATTTTTGACTGAAAAATTAATAGCTTTTGAATTCATACACAGCAGGTTTTCTTTTGCAAAGAAGTCCAATATCGCTGCACAGCACTTCTATAACCATTTATTTAGTGTCCAAGTCAAACCTTTGACAGCTAGAGCAGCGCTACAAGCCAATATAAAGAACTCCAAGATGTAAACCAACAATAGGCCGTCTGTGTGAGGTTTGCCATTGTCAAATACATAGATTGTTTGGATTAGTTTATGTAAATGTACTGTTGTATTACCCTTTGAAAAAAAAAAGATCACATTTGTGTATGAAAAGTGGTTCCCTTCACAGGCAGCATTATAAATTCCTTATCCTTTAACTTACATGTAAGAAGTAAAAATTGGTGCCTGACAAGCAGATATTGCGTGACACTCTGTTGCTGGAGTGAACCTGCCTTCTTTTCATTTATTGGAAAATAGAAAATTTTATTACAGATACCATCTTATAAATCAGGAATTATTAAAATACGTATAGGTGAGGCATTGGGAAATTAATTATAAAAGGTAGACGTGTAGTGTTCTGCATAGATTTCTCACTTCCTTGCCAAAAAGGGGCGGGGGAGGCACAGGCGTTTCGCAAACCCTTGGTTCTTTCAACTTGAGGGATATGGAGCTATCTGATGATCGATTCTCAGGTGCAAAATATTCCTTTTCCCTGCAATTAATTTATTCCACCTTAAATAATAGAATGCACCGTGTATCCTTCTAGAATCTTTGATTTGAAATAAGCAGTCGTCAGGATTCAGATCTAACCATAGATGGGGACTTTCATGTTACAGCCTTGCCAGTAAGTTGATGAAGTTTTTTTTTTTTTTTCTTTTTTCCGTTTCTGTTTAAAAGGAACTGCATGTTTATTTTAAAATTCTTAGTCACTAAGTGATAGAATGCTTTGCTGTAAACGTTGCTTTTCACTGAATGCCATTTGGGTGGTACATGTCATTTGTTGTATCCAGTCATCCAACCGGTCGCTGTTGCACTGCATCAGAGAAACTGCCACAACCTTCTTGGATTGTTCTTACCTCCGCTCAGACACGTTCCCCGGACCCTTTTGCGGAACCCGTCTTCCCTGTGGGTAGTTGGAGGATATGCTCACCTCTGGACAGTCTCGAGTGTTTAGACCTGGCTCTAAGCTCATCCCACACTGGGACGTGCATAGGTGAGCTGGAGGAGGAGTGCCCAGCTTTCCTTTTCCTCGGACACCTTCAGTGGCACCTCTTCCTGCTTTGCCATAAAATCCTTTAGACCAGAAAAGAGCTCTACTTTAGTAATTTATACCCAGGGCTCCCAAGGCCTGTTATGTTTGGAAAGGGAATTCCTGCACTTAAAGCCCAGCTATTTTATCAACAAGTATTTATGAAGTAAGCTGCTAAAAGCATAGAGCCCCCTCCCTGCCACTGAGGTGTTTGGAGTCTTGTGGGACAAGCTAACAACCACACACACCCACTGCATGAATTGTGCCCCGTGTTGTTAGAACGGCTCACCTACATCGGGGATTGAGAGAGTCTTCAAAAGGAAGCAACGGAAAGGAGTCGATCAGCGATTCTTTCCTTGGGTTCGGAGTAGGGGCGTGTGTGTCTGTGAGGAAGGCGACTGGGAGAGGAAGGCATGTCACGGGATCAGTGTGGAGGAAGCAAAGGGCCAGCCAACATCAGATAAACTAGGCTTTCCATTTTTTAATTTATTTTATTTGTCAGCTTTTGATTTTATTAAGGCTGGGCCCGGCGTGGAAAAGGATATGTAAAAGTTTCCCAGAGCGGCCGTATATTCTAGCAGTTGGGTAGGCACGGCGGGAAAAGCCTTTCTTGACATGAGTTTTAAAAGATTCTTCTCCTTTCCGTGTGAAGAGAAGCAAAAAACCCGATAGTAGTAAACTACCCTGATGAGACTGATGGCTATTCTTTTGTTCCAGACTCAGTAACATTCTCAAAGTAAACACCAGAGTGGATTGCTTGGGGGTTCGTGTCTCCACGCTTGCTCCATGGAGAATTTGCTGAGCTGTTTATTTCCTTGGAGGGAAGCGTAACTCAGAGGACAAAACAATAACAACAAAAGAAGCATATCTGTGTTAGGACTTTATTAAGTTGTTAAGGATTTTTTTTTTAAGACTTCCCTCTCATAATGTCAGGAGAATCCTGTAAATCGTATTTTAAAATACTGAGGACACAAGAAGGACACATTACTTCAGGGTATTCCTGCACACCAGAAAACAACTCCTGATGCTGGAAAAACCACATTCCTTCAGATTTGGTGGGCAAGTAATTATAGCGTAGGTAGTAGATCCTTCTTTATGAAAATGTTATAAAACACTTACAGGAACTTGGATATTTGAAGCAAAATGCAGTATTACATTTTCCTTTTTATGCATTCTCTTTTCCTCCAACCATAGCAATTAGGACTGTTATGAAATAGTTTTTAGCTGCTATAAAAACAAAGTGTTCCCCCCCCCCCCCCCCCCCCCCCCCGCCACACACACACACACACACATCTGAAAAAGGGGTCTTTTAAGTCCTGAAGAAATGGCTGATCCTTTGGGCTGCTTGCAGCCTTGCTTTAGGGCTAGAGAAACAATATTAGGCAGCCATAAAAGATTCTCTAGCACAACACACACAAGCTATTTTTATATACTGTTTCATGAAGCCCTCCCTGCCCGTCCCCACCTCTGTACCATCACTTTCTCATTCACTGCCCTCTGCCAGTGCCTGGCCCAGTGCAGTAGCTGGGACACCAAACCAAAGCTTCCCGTGCCGTGTCCTAGCCGCCCCACGGACGCCCCTTAGGCCTCAGGAAGGCGGGCCCGAACGCCAGCCTTTCGAGTCTAGAAACACTGTGCAGTTTAAAGCAGGCCTCGAGCCCGCTCAGGACCGTAAAACAAGAGCAGAAAAACGAGTTCTGTGAGCCTCAAAGTCTCTACTAAGCAGTTAGGTCCCCTGGTGTTTGGGTTTCAGGTCTGCCTTTTGTTCTCGGAATCTGTTTTCATGTGAGGCAAGAGCACAAACAAAAATAAAAATGAGTTCTTATGGGAATACTTACAACAAGTCTGTTTCTGTCCGGGGTTTACATCAGTGGTTTGTTTATTTTTTAAAAATGTGAGTGACTCATCATCTTTAAAAGAAGAGAGGAGGTTACTGTTTAAAAACTCGAGATTAATCTTTGAGAAAAGGGCTCAGTAGAGTAGCAGGCAGCTGACAGAGTCCCAGTAGTCAGGATGGGTAAGCTTCCCAGGATAGTCCTTGTGGAAGTGAGCTGGGGGGAAAGCCGGTGGTCGAGAGCCCACGTGCATTTAAAACAGAAAACCCTCCAGCTAGTTCAAGTGACGTAAGAATTTAACTTCTGGCCAGACCCTCAAAGCGATTATCTTTGCCGAAGTCATCACATGACAGAAACTTGCCATGTAGGAAATAGGAGAGTTACTAACTTTTCTAAACATAGCAACTTCTTTTGAAATAGAAAATGGACACAATAAGAAAAATAGGAAAGAAACCCTCCCTGCCTCCCAGTTGGATCCCTTCCTGCTCCATGCCCCAGAAAAAAATAAATAAATAAAAAATAATCTTTTAAAACCTTAACTACGATCAGAAACACGAAGCGCATATGCTTTCATTTCTAATTGATGATTGTATTAAGATTTAATAGTTTACAATTAAGATGAATATTTCAGGATTATAGCAAAACCCACACCGTTCCCGATTTGCTCTTCTAAGATGGTAATTAATTTTTCTTTTTCTTTCTGTGGGTGTGTGTGTGTGTGTGTCCACTGTTTTCAGAGACCTTAATTAAAAGAGCAGGTTTGGTTTGAACACAGAGCCTGTTTTGAATCCTTCCCCGCCCCCCCATCTTGTCTCTCCCTCGTGACCTTCCTCCCCGAAGATGGTTTCTCCTCAAGACAAGCATGTGATCATCAAACAGAAGTTTAAAAGTTAACAAACTTCTATAGCAGTTGACAAGGTTGACATTTCATTAACTTGTTGGTTCAGCCTTCAAATGATTTCACGAGGCGAAGCACCCCCTGTTTGGAGTTTACAGCTTTTTGTTCTTCCTTCCCTCACAGACTACAGTCATGTTTAATTTGGAATCTGGGCTCCTTTGGCAAATTAGCAATTAGAACAATTTTGTGGGAATATGTATATGTGTCATTAGTTTTCCTGCAAATTAATAGCAAGGGCAGAGGTCGGGCAGAAATTTTCCACTTGACTGCCGTTCCTCTATTGAGACTTGGCACTTGGTTGTGGAATGGCCACAGCTGCTCTCAGCCACCCTCTTCCTGGAGGAACTGTCTTTTAATTAGTTTACCTCACAGCCATCATTACAAATATTACTGCCTCCCCTCCTCGAAGTAAAATTACTGTTTCTACAAAATATTCCAGTGACATCTTGCACCACCTCACACTGGTGGTGGGGTCACTCGAATACAGCATTTAATCATTAGATCACCTCCGTCCGCGTCTCCTAATTAGAACCCTTACAATACATTTTTATCTGGTAATTAGCTGAGATTGGCTGCTTCCTCCGTGGCTTATTAGAGACAGCCCAGCAGTGGGTGTGAATCACGGTGTCATTTGTCAAGCCTGGTAAGCCCCCTCTCTGCTCTCTTCTGGCTTGTGTTTATTTCCATTTGCTACCTGTGCTCAACAGCCTCCAGAAAACGCTACTGCCTATGTCTTTGTGGGTTGTGCTCACCCTGGAGGGATTTTATTTTGCACTGTTGCTTTTTGGGTACAAGCAGGCCAGGTGTTAAGACCTGTGGTAAAAGCCACAGATGTCCGATTCTTTTCACATTTTATGACACAGTACCATGTGACTTGTCTGATCTACATGAGCACCAGACGATGGATTCGTACTTGCTGAATGTTTACGTGAGTTTTGAGTTTTTGGAGTGGAGTGGACTTGGTGCCCTTCCTCACCAAACGGGACAGGAGCAGGCACAGTTCTCGAGGCCGTGGCGTTTCTAATTTTCATTGCGTGTTTAAGAAAGTGACGGTGTTGAGGGGTACCGTTCTTAAATGGAAAAGGAAAGCCAAGAAGTACAATTACTCTCAGAATCGCTTTACGGTTGTTACGCACACTTTCCCTTGAATAGCGTCTGTATTTGATGGTAAGCTCTTCAGGGGCAGCAGTTAAATGTTCTATCCCTGTTTTTGTCATTTCTCTTCCAGATGCCTTCTGTTGGCTCAGTGATATTTATTGAATGTCATTTATAGGCGGGGATTAAAGCTATTCACTGAATCTTTTCCAAAAATAAGCATACAGAAAAATGAAACAGGCTAGTGTTTATTTTTCCCATTAACTGGGCCTGGCATCACAAGCGTGTGTCTGACTTTCGGTTCAGGTTCAGGATAGAGGCAAGTTATTTCATCGATCAACAGCCTCAGTTTGCTCACCTGCAAAATGTTGACTAATAACATCTCGCTTATTGGTGATGGTATGAGACCTCAGTGAAATCACGCAGCGGCAGGTGATTTACAACAGTGGTTTCTACAAACGGTATCCATGACTTTCCAGGGTGTTTGGCTATTCTTACATCCAGCAGCATCTGAATTTTAAAAGCTGTATATTTATGAGCAGTAGCCTTTGAGGCACTAATTTCCTTGACCCGTTGCTTGGGCTGATGCTTATACACACTGTTGCTGTACTTGGTCAGTGATTAAGGCCCAAGGCAAAGAGGAGGTCAGCCCCAACCTTCCCCCTTGGCTTCTCAACTCCACTCCATCCCATGGCTGCTCCTCCGAACTGTAAGCACTTAGTCTGCAAATGTGTGTCACCAAGTCAGGTTTCCAGCACTCATAAAAAAGCAGCTCCCAGCATTGGCCCAGCTTGCCGGGGCGGGGGGGGGGGGGGGGGGGGGGGGGGGGGGGGGGGGTGGCTGGTGGTTAAGGGCAGTGTCCTCTCCGTAGCTTGCTCTCCTCAGGCATGGGGGTTGGGAGAAGGGTCTGGCGTTAGCAGAGTCAGCATTTCAAGAGGGGAGTTACAAAGCCAAGCACAAGTACAGGCTTGCAACCCAGTATTCCTTTCACAGTACCATGTGTACATTTTTCAATTAATATTTACCTAACGACATTTGATCCTTCTTTTCTTCACATCACTCGTCTTTATTTCGTTGTGCTTTTTTATGGAACCACCCTAAACATACGGGAGGCGTTCTCATGGCTTTTTTTCATTACCAGAGGATGGTAGGTTGAGTCTTCTCAACAAATTCGAACTTTTCATAGGCTCTTTATGAATCCGGAGGAATCTCATGTTTAATACCTTGTACAGATAATGCCTTGTCCATCTGCAATGGTGAAATACTTATGTTGTTAAATGATTCGAAATGTGGTTTGAGAAAACATTACCAAATAAGCCTACTTTGCGTGGGTTTCTTGGATTGGAGGCTGGCTAGAAGTATCTGAGATAGCAATTATGTGTAAATGGTAATATGTTGAAAATAACCGAGTTCTTTATCATAGCCAGACTTACATTTCTGGGAGAACAAATTGTGGGCAAGGGGGACAAGCCCTTTTCTTCAGTGTTACTAAGAGAAGCACTTCAAGGTGAAGTCTAAATGGAAGGAAGGAGTAAGTACTCCTTCATTTTCCTGTATACTCCTTCAAATAAATAAACCCCTTCTCCTGACCTGATGCTATAGATTCGATCATATTACTGAACATTTGAAATCTGAAGAAAAGTTTTTAGTTTCCGATCTTTTGTATGTCATTTTTTTTTTTTTAATTAACAGATTCCAGTCGTACATTTATTAGAGTTTAGTGAAGATTACCCATAAAGCTTTCAAAGATTAGTCTCTGCCAACTGATGTAACTAAATGCTGGTTTACTGGATCGGTGCCATTCTTTTTAATATGAGTCATAATAGGCCAGACACCTTTGTGATGGCTCCCTCCCTGAAGTTACATTATGAAGTAGCCTATCACTGTACCAGCCAGTGTGGTAGCCACTGGCTGCGTGTGGCTCTCTAAATAAAAGTTTAGGGGCACCTTGGGTGGCTCTGTCTATTCCAAGTCTGACTCTTGGGTTTTTTGGCTTAGGTCACGATCTCACGGTTTGTGAGCTCGAGCCCCACATCGGGCTCTGCGCTGACAGCGCAGAGCCCGCTTGGGATTCTCTGTCTCCCTCTCTCTCTGCCCCTCCCCTGCTCACTCTCCGTCTCTCTCAAAATAAATATTTTAAGTTTAGTTTTAATAAAAATGAAGCAAAAACAGTTCCACACTGGCAGCAGCCCTTTGCAAAAAGTGCTGTTTGGAGAGCTCAGGTCTAGCCCAGCGTATCCCAAGAGGTGGCTTCTGCAACGTTGGGGTTCAGCGGGTGCTACCAGAACTCCATCTCCCTGTGTGCCGTCTGCCAAGCACAGCATGCTACTCAGGAGGGTTCAGAAGCACAAGTACTACAAAGACGGTTCTTGATGACTGAAGAAATGTTTTGACCCCGAACTTGTCAGACTCACTGGGCTAGATAACCCCTTTCTGCAAACACTCATCTATAACTGTCTTTGGAGAACACCTGTGTTTCCACGGGTCCATATCCTTTGGACATGCATGGCCAGAGGTATTTTCAACTACTCAGTGGACTCGCCTCCTATTCCAGTTGATTATAAGTATCTGTTTAGAGAAGGAAAAGTAGCCAGGCATTTCCTGTGTTACTCCTGCTGGATTTCAGATGCCTTCTTGCTCCCGTTTTTTTTGCGAAGGTCTTCTAAGGATTATTCTTGTCCTCACAGCTGAATCTGGTATCAAGCGTCACACTCTCCAAGTCTGCATCAGAGGCTTCTCCACAGAGCTTACCTCATACTCCAACGACCCCAACCGCCCCCATCACTCCTGTCACCCAAGGCCCCTCCGTCATCACCACCACCAGCATGCATACGGTGGGACCCATCCGCAGGCGGTACTCAGACAAATACAACGTGCCCATTTCTTCAGGTAGATACTCCATCTGTGCCTCCTGTAGAATTGTAACATGCAGTTCTTGTAGACCAGCCTCTCTTTAAAAAGTGATAATTAACAGGACAATGATTCTTATTTAGCAGATATCGCGCAGAACCAAGAGTTTTATAAGAACGCAGAAGTTAGACCACCATTTACATACGCATCTTTAATTAGGCAGGTAAGTAAATAACACAGTATGTGAAATTCTAGCAAAAGGTATACATGTGCATGGATATATTATATTGATGAAGTAGATTTAAAACCGTTTAGTATGCAGGCATGCTAAAACCTTTTCTATAAGGTTTTTTAAAACTGCAATATATAACATAATTGCTTTTGATTAAGTATTACAATACGATGTGATTATTAGGAAATTCATTTCACACAACAGTGAAAATGAGCCTGTTTAAAGATGGCAAGTCAATTATCACAAGCTACAGTAATCTCTGATCCCTAGAATTAATCTGAGCTCTAAATAATTACTGAGCTTTAATCAGCTAGTGAAATGTTTTGCATTTCTCTTTGATTCTGCTTTATGAATGACTAATAAATTAATATTTCTGTACGGAAACAGAAATAAAAACTCAAAACAATTAGATAATTCCATTTTGAATTTTGCTATTGAACTGTTAAATACAACCATTAATCTTAGATCATTTTGTGAAACCTTTCTTGGGCTTTAGCTCTGAATCATGGTCATTTTATATTTTCAAGAAACTGTATAATGACGATTCTGCTGATTTGGTCATAAATTATCTTCTTTTGTCACTTTTGCTTCACAGGCCATTCTCGAATCTCCAGAAAAGCAGCTAACACTAAATGAAATCTATAACTGGTTCACACGAATGTTTGCTTATTTTCGACGCAATGCTGCCACGTGGAAGGTAAGCTTTCTCACAGGCCTGTTTAGGCTTGGATCTTACCTTTTTTTCTTTTCTTTTTTTTTTTTTTTTTTTTTTTTTTTTTTTTTTTTTTTTTTTTTTTTTAATTAACATTTTTTTAAGCTTATTTATTTTGAGAGCGCGAGCCCGAGTCGGGGAGGGACAGAGAGAGAATCCCAAGCAGGCTGTGTGCTTTCAGCACAAGCCCAACGCCGGGCTCGATCCCACAAACCATGAGATCATGACCTGAGCCCTGATCAACCGTCCCACGCTTAACTGAGTGAGCCAATCAGGCGCCCCGGAACTGTCCATTTATAAACGACTTTGTTGTAAGATACATGAGTATTGTTTTCATACACACAGAGTCAGAGTTATGGGAGTATTTTAGTGAGCGGATAGTTTATTGGGATTAAAATGCTGAGACAGAAGACTCCTATTACATTGGCATCAGATTTTGGATGGACCAGCCAGTAAAATCATTTCTATCTGATTGTTACTGTGTAAGGGAAAAAGAATAGAGGACACTGTTGGCCCGATGTTGAGGTTGTCCTGTTATTTAAACAAACCTCATGCTTTTCAGTCTTAAGACTCCACCAGAATTTGCTGAGATACACAGCTTCCTTTTTTTTTTTAACCTGGGGAACTAAGACAGACTTCACATAACCTTAACAGGTTTGATTCAGAAAAACAAACAAACAAAAAATTTTAAAAAGCTCCTTACTGTAATTAGTAGAGAAAGCTACACAATCTAAGTAGTAGCACTATATATAGGAGCCATTACAGGAAAGCAAAATACATTATTAAGGTTTTGGATTTAGTTCCTTTTTTTTCTTTTTTGCATCAAACTATTAATCAGAGATTCATAGATACTCTGAAAAATTGTGTACCTTCACTCTAACACCAAACATCTGTTTGCTGTAAAACAGATCAAATTCCTCAGCTCCACGGGGAATGCCCTAACAAGGCTGGAGGGTCACATGACCTACCTCATTTCTAGTTGGGTCATTTTCTGCTGTATTCAATGAAGCCCTCACAAATTTTTGAATTTTACCTCTCGATTTCTTGATTTAAATGTTCCTGCTATCCAAGAGGGCCAGTCCCATGTCACAATTTTTTTGCTCCTTTACTACCCAGAATTCTCAGAATGCCCCCATTCCACCACAGTTTGGAACATTTAAAATGCACATATCTTAGGATACTGTACGTCCTCATAAATATGATAGGGATTAATGTTAGGGTGCAAAGGAAATTCGCTTTGCTACTTTTTAAATTTTAGATAGGACAAAAACAAAAACAGACAACACATTTCCTCTGTTATGTTCTTGGTAAGTTAGCATTTTAAAAGAAAATGAAATAACCATAGAATTAATTTATCAACCTTACCCAGCCCTGCATATCTATTATGGCTTGAAGTGTCCTTTTTCATTCCATTAAAACACTTGGGTGCTGAAGGAGACCTCTGTTCAAGATCTTACCCTTTCTTCCTCAGCCTCCCTTAGGAGATAAAATCCAGAGTATCTTTAGCTATGAATGCTTTCAAAATACAGGAAGCATAAGCATGAAGCAGACATTTTCTTCAAATTGCCTTTTTTAAATAGCAAATGATCAAATTTAAAAATAATTACTAGTTGTGAATATGAAATTTAGGCTCAGATCTACAGCTTTAACTTTTTCATTTTTGCAAACTGCAGGAAAAAGTGCCATCACTATGAACAATCCTAGATAAAGTACCAAATGATTCATCTTATTTGTATTGTAATCTTAAAAGATGAAATGCCCAGTTTAAATTGTGACTGAAAGGGGCTTACTCGTCTTTTTGGGAAACTGGATTTCTGGATATTTTTGCAGAGCTGCACAGTCTTGGAAAACAAACCTTAAGTTTGAGTTTATATCATACATGGCTATATGCTTGAGACAGATCAATAGCAATCCTTCTGACAGATGTGGTTTCTTTAGATCTTTTGCAGGGCTAAACATTCCGATGCTTATTTTAAAATATTAGACAATGATAAGGTTGAGAGGAAATGTTGATTTTTTTCCCGCAATTACGTCTTCAATGTGTATACATGATCTGTCTGGGATTTTTAAAAAGAAAACTTGGGTTTATTTTTATTGTTTTAGGAGGTAGGAGGAGATCCTTAGTATCCCTCTCCTGTGCCTTAATACAGTATAAAAAAGAAAAAGTTTCTTGAAAGAGGAGACTACAATTAACAAGTATACTTGAGAGGACAGATTTTTTTTTTTTCCCATATAACAGGAGATAAAATTTCAGCGATTTTTCTTTTGTTTTGTTGTTACACAAACCTATCCCACCAATTAGAACCGGAAGTGTCCTTCCATAATCAGCTGGATGTTTTGAACCTCCCCCCCATTATGCTGGCATTGCTCAAAAACTCTGAGACTTTATCCCGTGGGTTCCCCTTCTGAGTAGTTGATGACTTAGCTGTGAAAGAAAACTTGTCTCCTTATCTTTGAATCTGCCGTAACGAAAAAGAAAAATCCTATCTAGTTGGACCCCTCACAGAGTCACCAGTGGTGATTACCTACGCCTTGAAACACTTCTCCGTATGTTTGGAGAGGAAGTACCGTGGGTAGCACCAGAGGCGGCCTGCAGGACGTTTGAGCAACGGCAGCATCATTGGAAGGGAGTGGCGGTGCTACGAGGCAGGGGAGATGGGATTTCGGCGTCCCCTCTTCACGCCACAGTGGTCACCCCGCTTCTTCCCTGTAGGAAGAAAGTTTTGAGTAAATGACATGGGTCTTTCTGCAATGTCCTCTTGTCTCACTTTGAGTCTCAGTCACTAAGTTCAACCAAGAAGGTTACAGACATGAAGCTGTGCTTCCTACTGGCCCCATTACGGGTTGTGCATTTCAAAGGAAAGATGAGCTGTGGAGTTGAGATCCTCCTTTCTGGTGGAGTTTAGACGTCAAGGGTCTCAGTTAAGAATGCTCTTAGAAGTGACTTTTAACCTTAAGAAAGAAACACGGTGGGGGGAATATAGAAATATGTATCTTTAGGAACCATCAGCTTCAGCAGTATTCTCTTTTTGCCATTGAGAGTTTGACTCAAGTCTTCCTCTGGCGTTTTCTGTTAATTAAGATAATTGCCCCTAGCAAGGGCCAAGTTTGTATATATTCGGGAAGGTAAGACATAGTTTGATGATGGATACTGATGCATTGGGGCTCATGTCATTCCCTTATCCTGTCACCCCCATGAGGCAATGCTCTCAGTGGCAAAATCCAATTTAGATAAATCTGACAAAACCCACAGAAGGTACTAAAGCCAAAATATTGAAGAACAAAAAAGAACCAGGACGAAACGTATTCAACAATATTATCACCTTGCACGATTTTTTTTTTCCAATACCCTTTTTTATGGGAGACAAGTGGGCTTAAAGGGGACAGTTTTATGCTTTTACATGTTTCTTTATTTTGAAGTGACATTAACAATATTTTCAGATTTTTACTGTGAAACCTATTTTGGGCTGATATGCATATTAACTGTTTCTTCTGGTTCACTACTACCAGAGACTAAATTTAAATGCCAAAGTATAATTAAGTGGTAATTTTTT